TTTTGACTATGCTATAACTCTTGCTGGAATAAAAACTATTTAACTTGTACAGTGTATCTGTCTTACTGAGTGTAAGCTACAACAACGTTTTTATCTCACACATATCTGCCTGTCTGCTAGACTGCCGTTGCACGTTCTGCTAGGGTGTATATTCCTAACACTGGTTATGGGCCCAGGTGCACAGTCAGACTAACCAGGATATAACAGGCTTGTGAGTGAGAGTTTGTGTAGCGACACAATACTGTAAACAGCACAGCTGTGTTTTATTAATTATAGTTTTCATATCCAGATAAAGATGGCACAAGTCAATTTACAAAGTTTGTCTCTAATATCCAAACTGGATGGAACAAACTATGTTTCATGGTCTATGAAATGCAGCCTACTTCTACGAAGAGAAGGTTTGTGGAACATAATACAAAACCCACCAGAGGTAGATGCATGGGTTCCGGAGGATGAGGATGATGCCCAGAAAATACAAGAATATGAAGTGAAGAATGAGCAAGCTCTCTGTATAATAGGATTGACACTCTCTGACCAGCAGCTTGTCCATATTCGTGGAGAGGAAACAGCTGCGAAATGTTGGGAGAACCTAAAGAAGATTTATGTTCGAGACAGTGTAGGAGCACATATTAATCTTACACGGAAACTGTTTAGAACACATCTTCAAAAGAATGGAGACATGCTAAATCATATAAACTCAATGAAGATAATTTTTCAAGAACTGCATGAAAAGGAACTTATCTTCACAGAGCTACACCAAGTTTATATAATTTTGTCTTCGTTAGATCAGAGCTACGATGACTACGTAACTTCACTTGAAGTTCTGCCAAAAGATAACCTTACATTAACTGACATTACTGGCAGATTAATTGAAGAAGCCAGGAGAAGGCTTGAAAGGGATCAACTCAGAAGGGAAAAACAACCACAATGTGAAGAAGAGAAAATATCTTCGTCAGCGTATACAATTAGAAAATGTTTTAATTGTGGAGGAAAAGGACATTTGGCTAGATTCTGCAAGAAAGCAAAAAGCCAAAAAGCCAGCCAGAATGCTAAAATGCATCAAAGGAATAAAAAATGCATAGAGTTAGCCATGTATAGCAACGAAACTGTGAATAGTAATTTATGGGTGTTAGATAGTGGAGTATCGCACTGCATAACAAAAGATAAGAAAAGATTTGTTAAGATGTCCACAAGTTCACAGCAGATATCGTTAGCTAATGGATGGAAACTTAAGGCTAAAGTTCAAGGTATAGCATATTGTTCTTGCATAAAAGAAAATGTAAAAATGTTATATGTACCACAGCTTAAGTTTAATTTGCTTTCGGTTAGAGTTTTGGTTAAACTAGGTTATGTAATTACCTTTAGGGGAGACAATTGCATAATTGAAAAAGAAGGTAAAAAAGTGACTGCAACTTTAAAAGGTGAATTGTATGTGTTAAATGATAATTTAGAGGTGGCTAACACAGTTTATAATAATGTTAAACCTCATGATGAGTGCATACATTTGTTACACAGACGTTTAGGGCATATAAATTTTAAAATGCTTAAACAAACGGTAGAACTATCTAAGGGTATAAAACTGAAACCTTGCAGTAAGTATTTGCACTGCAATGTATGTAGTGAAGAGGAAAGCAAGGTGATACCAGCAAATAGAGTTAATGTATTTAAAACCAAAGAGCCTCTAGAGGTAGTATTTGCTGATATTATAGGTCCTAAAAAACCAAGTGTGGGAGGTGCTCGTTACATACTAAGTATAATGGACCATTATTCCAGATATGGTTTCTGTTATCTAATGAAAAACAAAACGGAAACATATCAAAATTTCTTTAATTGGCTTAAATTCGCAGAAAGAAAAACTAAAAAGAAATTAGTAACTCTTATCACTGATAATAGTACGGAATTTATAAACAATAAATTCCAAAATAAACTGAAGATGGCAGGTGTTGAACATAAAAAGTCTGCACCATATAGGCCACAACATAATGCCTTTATTGAGAGACGAGGCCAAACATTACAAGCAATGGCTCGTTCTATGTTGTCAGATTCAGGATTACCTGAAACTTTGTGGGGAGAAGCAATAATGTGTGGTAATCATATATTGAATAATGTTGTTAATTCAACAACTGGTGAATTACCATTCACACGGTGGCATGGCAGAAAACCTGACCTAAGCTACGTGCACACATTTGGAGCACCAGCATGGGTGCATATCCCTACACAACTGAGAAAGAAAGGGCAACATAGGGCAAAAAGGTTATTTTTTGTAGGTTATGAATCTAATCACAAATCATACAGATTCTGGGGAAAAGGTACATCTAGAGTTTACTGTAGCGCTAGTGCACAATTCCTAGAACATGTAGGATGGGAAAAATTGGAGCAAGATTCAAATAAAGAAGTAATTATAGAACCCTACAAAAGACCAGAAAAAATCAGTAATAAGAAGAGCACAATTAAAGAGGAAGTACATGAAGAGCATATAGGACCAGAAGAGGAAGAAATACCAGAACAGGAAGAAATAGATAATCAGGAACAGGTAGAACATGAAAGTCCACCTGTAAGCCCTGTAATACCTAGACGTTCTACACGTGTAACCAGACCACCTGATAGGTATCAAGCAAGTATAGTTTGCCAAGTTAGTAAAGTTCCAATTAATGTTGAAGAACTTAGGATGTATCCTGCAAAGGATCAGGAGAATTGGCAAAAGGCAATGGAAAAGGAACTAAATTCATTAAAGGAAATGAAAGTTTATGAAAATGCCAAATTACCTCCAGGTGAAAAATCCATTGGTTGCAAATGGATATTTAAGTTAAAAACTGGTAAAAATGGGACTGTTACCCATAAGGCTAGGTTAGTAGCTCAAGGATTTAATCAAACTGCATGTGATTATGATGAGGTATTTGCACCAAATTTAAAGGCTACAACCTTGAGAGCAGCTTTAGTGTGGGCAGCTAAGAAAAATTATATTATAAATCATTTAGATGGAGAAACTGCCTATCTGCATGCACCATTGCAGCACACTATATATTTAAGAAAACCAGTAGGTATTAAGGATGATAAAAATAATAATGACTGTTGGAAACTGAAAAAGAGTCTCTATGGATTGAAACAATCTGGTTATGAATGGAACCAATATATTGTAAAAGAGTTAAACAATATAGGGTTTAAAGCAGGTTTAGCTGATCCATGTTTATTCAAGAGAGAGACAAATGGCATAGTATCATTATTGTTGTTGTTTACAGATGATATTGCTTTAATAACGAAGACTAATAATGAAGCTACTGAGATAATATCATTATTAAGTAAGAGGATAAAATTAAAGCATTTAGGAGAAATAAGACAATATTTAGGATTGACAATAAACAAAACCAATAGTGGATTTAAGATATCACAAGAAGATAAAATATACCAATTGCTAAAAATGTATAAAATGGAACTTTGTAAACCGGCAAAAACTCCAATGAGTCAGGAATTTTGTCGCACTGATGCTCAAAGTTCAAAATTTGATAAGACTATTTATCAGCCATTAATAGGTAGTTTATCATATATAAGTAATTGGTCAAGGCCAGATATTGCTTATGGCGTTAATCAATTGGCAAGATTTAATGCTGAACCAAATGAACGTCACTGGCAAGCGCTAAAGCGTATATTAAGGTATCTTAAAAAGACAATGCACTATGCATTGTATTTAGAGCCAAAAGATGATTTGATTTTAAGTGCATATGCTGATGCAAGTTTTGCAACAGATATAAAAACTAGAAAATCAACTTCAGGTATGGCTATACTATTAGGTAAAACACTGATTGGTTGGAGGTCAATTAGACAGCAACATATAAGTATGTCCACAATGGAAGCAGAATTTTCATGTTTATCTTTATTATGTACTGATTTAATTCTGTATAAACAGTTGTTGTTAGATATGGGAGTAACTGTTAAGGATGCCATTGTAGTGTATGAGGACAATCAAGCAGCCATAAGGTTGGCTACAAATATTGCTGTAAAGACTAGGTCTAAGTACACTGACCTTAGATATTTGAATGTTAGACAATCTGTAAAAAATGGTTTGATAAGATTGGTTTATTGTATAACTGAAGAAAATTTTGCAGATGGATTTACAAAAGCCCAAGGTGCAGTAAAGCACAAGGAAAGTTGTGAAAACTATGGGTTGAAATTGTAAATAGATATATATATTATTATATTACCCAAAAGGGGAGAATGTTAGGGATAACATTGTTTACCTAACTTAGTTTGGGTAGAATAATATATAAACTATGTTAGTGAGTTTAAGTGTATGTATCACTTTAAACTGTAAACCAAGTTTTTGGGTGCGGTTGTAAAATCACCATAAGAGGGAGCAAGAGAGCTCACTGTTTCCTCGGCTTTTACTGGAATGCTGACAATGAAGGATTGATGGTGATAAACTGCGTGTTTGCTGAGAAGAAGAAAGGAGGTTTGATTTTCTTCATATCTCTGCTACCAAAAAGAGATATATCACAGGACTGATTGATTGTAAGTTTACTGGCCTCTTTTTCGACACTGGACTTTGCAAACTGAATAACCCCCGGATGGACTGAACTTAGTGTATGATATATGGACTGTTTTGACTATGCTATAACTCTTGCTGGAATAAAAACTATTTAACTTGCACAGTGTATCTGTCTTACTGAGTGTAAGCTACAACAACGTTTTTATCTCACACATATCTGCCTGTCTGCTAGACTGCCGTTGCACGTTCTGCTAGGGTGTATATCCCTAACAGTTTGATTCCCATTATTCCATTTTTTTACAGCGTTGTATTAAACTGGTATGG